GGCGCTAGTATGGATAAGCGACTAGAGTTTAAAGTGATTTTAATGTGTCATCAAGCTAAACAATACTTAAATAACTAAGTACCTAAAACAAGTTTTTTTTGGTGTTATTTCCAGCATCAACGAGGCAGCCGTTCCTGAAAACGAAGCCAATGCCCCGTAACCTATTTTATGGAGAAAAGAGACTTTCGAGAGCGAAGTCCGTGTCAGAATTGGCCGTGTTAGAAACTATTAAATTAATTCAATAAAATAATTTGTATTTGTCGACGTCCTGTATATTTTTGGACTGAGTCAGCGTTTTGATAGATAAGCATCGACCGCTATCGGTCGTGCGGGGATCAGTTTTGAATGATACCTCTGCACGCTCGTGTTAAACGCCGTTTGTGTTTATCAAATTTATATTCCGTATTTTTGTTATTAGAATCTTGTTTAGTTTATATTTCGTTTTATTAATTCTAACAGTAGGGTAGATATAATCTATATAAAATAAAACAATAATATTAACCGGTACTCGTCAGCATGATGGTAATAAAAAAACAGATAGCCAATCCTTTCGATTTTCCAACTAAATCCAACAAAATGTTAAAATATAAGTTTAAAAGAAACGTTACCTGACAATTATTCCAAAGTTAACACACAATGAGCACATATAAAAGACAAGATAATTACGGAAATCTTCTCATAGTAGCTTATTTATTGGCACACACTACCACATTGAACTCGATAAACCAAAAGGCCGGTTGAATCAACACGAGTCGGTTTTATCTAGGAGTGGTTGCCCAAAGAAACACTAGATACGTGCGCAAACCGTACCTTGCAAATATCGAGAATGAAACGAGCGGTTGTCGTCTAAATTATGTTCTATCAAAAAATTCCCAAAATTGAGTGTAGTAAAAATTAAAGCGGGCGTTTTTGTTTTTGGTGTGTTACAGATAAGATCATTAATAACAGACACAACATTTATGGACACTATTACAGAAGTTGCAAAAAACGCATGAAATGAGTTTGTTTAGCTTGTTCAAATTTTTTTGGGAAATAAGAAAAGTTCTAACTATTCTCAACACGTTGAAAAACTAATGAGTCACTTTCAAACCCTTGGAACATGAACCCATGAGCATCAAGTTGCACTTTCTTCACAACCACCTAGATTATTTTCCCGCTAATGTTGGAGAACTAAGTGAAGAACAGGGCGAGCGATTCCACCAGGACCTTTGTACGATGGAGGAACGGTATCAAGGCTACCGGAACGCATCATATGATGGCTGACTATTGTTGGAGCATTCAGAACAGTTCTATGGGTTCAACCTCTGCAAGAAAGTCTTATAAAAGAAAGTGTTTTTCACCTTAAGAACTAAATAAAATATGATTGCCTTTAAAAAAATTGTGTTTTACTATGAAACGGCCATGTGTCATATTTTCTAAACTAGAGCTAATATAGAAATTTAGAATACAAATTTAAAGTCTTCATTAAACATTAATCTAGTGTCATGTTATATAACTCAATCATCAGAAATACTGTTATGCAGTGTCATTATTGGATGACTCATATATATTTTTTTTTATTCAATATCATTTCAAAATGGCGCAGGAACAAAAATATTAAAACGTTCGTTCCCTATATAAATGATGTTTTAAACTTACCTCATAGAGAATTTATATTAGCACCAAGATATAACACTTTAAACTGCTATCAATCTGCACTAAAAATAGTAGTTAACGCAACAAGTGCTAGAAAATGCACTTTTTGCACGAAACTGCGTTACGGTAAGCAGGTGAGTGCGTAAAAGTGCTTCTAGCACGTGTTACGATCAACATTTTTTCTACAAGAACATTTATTTCTAAAATAGAGAATTAACCTGTATAATGACATTAGGTACAACATACAGTTTAAGTATACATATATTAAACCGATGTTATGTGCTGAATTGGTGTAGTGGTTAGGGTTTCGGGCTCATAACGCAAAGATCTTAGGTTCAAACCCTGGCATGGGCGAAAATATATTGCTTTTTTTTTAATTTATATTTTATTTTTCTTGTCAAAAAATCCTACATCTAATATTCAATCTTATTACATATTAATAAAATATCTTATATATTATATAATTATTAAATTATTTATGTATATTAATGGTAAAATTGCAGAAAGTTGCATGTTTAATGTTAATAAGTGAGTCTAGGTTTTTATTAATATTTTGACCATCCAGGTGTTGCGTGTAAGTGTTAACTATAACACGCTTGTAGAAAAATTTTATTTAATATTATTTATGTGCAAAATTTAATATGAAAGGTGTTTTTCAAAATAAGCTTGTTCTTTCAAGATATACAGTTCATCAAATTTCTAGAGGTGATCGACGCCCAGACAGAGAACGCGCTACGTGTGACTAAGATAGCTATTGTACAGTCTGCTAAACAAGTTATTTTAAATAGTTTTTAATATTTTTAGGTAATTAAATTTTAAAAGTGTGGAATAGTTTAGGGATTAAATTGGTCTGATTGGACTTTCTTAGAACGTTTTTAAAAGCAGCTAAAGATAGTATGTAGAATGGAAAATAATTATTATGCCATAAAAGGTGTTTTGGAATTCCTTCAACCTTTTGAAATTGAGTCAGAAAATATAAATTTTATAGGATAGCGGAAAATACCTATAATTTTTTTGTATGCCTTTGTAAATCGTGGAAATAGTTTATATTTTATTTATACCTTATTAAGAAAAATGGTACCTATTATTAATAACGGTTGTTTCTGAAACATTACTAAAATTTTCGAAATTTTGTTTTTCTACAAAATAATAAACTATACTATTAAGAAAAAAATTTATTTCTCTTATAATTTTATAAAAAATAACGGGAATATTTACATTTCTTGATCTATTAAACAAAACGATAAATTATCTCGACGAATGCACCATGTTCTAGTACGGAAGCTAACTTTACATTTTTGTTGGTAGTTTCATGGGTTTCATATCAATTTTTTTGTAATTGTAGTTTACACGTACATATACCTCTTAACACTGGTTTGCTTTATTAAAAAAGTGTGTTGTTGTGATTTACGTCGAAATAAGTCAAAAACAACTTGAAACCCCATATAAAAATCAAAAAGGAGAAACGAAAAAAAATTGAGCCTGTAAATAAACACAACTCAGAAACAAAAATAGCTATCTAATAATAAAAAAATAAAATTTGATTCTTGTGCAGCTTCATCTATATCATTAACTGTTTTTGGTTTTTTAATAGTTTTTCTTGGTGATGAAAATTCCGATATCTCACGGTTATCGATTCTTTTTTTCTCTCCAGAAATGCGGACGACAGTGTTTTTAGATACTCCTGTGGCTGCAGCAACACGATCATTTACATTTTTAAATGGTATTGAAGGTGAATTAAAGTTTCCTTCTCTTCTCATAAACTCTATAACATTGGCTATTATTTCGCGAGATTGACTGTTAATCACGCGGCCTCTTAATTTGCTATTAAACTCCATACTTAGGTTCTATTAAACTGTAATGAGCAAAAAACACAAACGAAAATAAAAGAAATGTTTTAGCGAAATTTACATCTGACATTTACGTCTGAATAAAATAGTGAAATACTTGATGCGCAGAGTGTACTTTCATTGCGTAAATCCGTCGGGATGCCTGTCAGTAGTGCTTTCTCTGTCTAGCCGTCGAAAGCCTCTAGAAATTTTATGAACTGTAATGTTTCGTAGGATTCACAAACTGCTTTAAAATATACGAATATATAAATATTCATTGTATCCCTTAGAATCCTTAGATTATAAAATAGTCACGCCTATCAGTTTTAATATAGTCTCACAGAGTTAATAGAGTAACAAAAATGAAATTAGAAAATATAAAAAGAAGTTTATATTCAGTTTCGTGGACAATATGAAAACAAAATCATTAATATCTTTAAACTTTCTCCATATCAGATAGGACGTTTAAGCTTAGCAGAGCAGAGTCTGACCTTGTTAAGAAATCGGAATTATGGGAAACCAAGACTTTAAAATATTATCTAAAAGTAACAATTTCTTTAAGAGGATATATGAAGGAACTCTTTGTAACGAACAAAATAAAAATCACATAGAAGTGCTTCCTCACAAACTTTTTACATTGGATTTAAACAAAGCTAAGTACATTTAAGTTAAATACATCTGTTTTACTTAGACGTAGTACCCATCATGGTTTCATTAAGAATGCTGCGGATGCTGTGGATATTTTAAAAAGTACGAAAGTTGGGCCCACAAAATAGTTTTTGGGTTGAAACCTATAAAATTTAGAATTTATAGCTTCAAATTGTCAATCGCTTAATTGTGAAAATCGAATTTTTAGGCTCATCTAGATTAAAAAGTAAAAAAAGTCAGTGGACTTCCTTCAAATATCTACATATTTGGTCTATACGGACGTGGTTCTCATATAATTAAGATTGAACCTCTTTACAGGAAAGTAGTTTAATCAATAAATATTTTCGTTAACTAATTTTTTCTTAACTTACCTGTAAGTTACAGATGGGTAAACTATAATTAATTTCTAATAGAATAAGGCGTCATTTCACAGACTAATATTTGATTACTGATATTTAAATATCAGTTAGATTATATTCTTTTATTAATATTTTTAAAATATAAATGAACATTTAATTTGCCAATCATTTAAGGAAACAATCTAATTTGTTTGAGTTTTATTAGTACCACTAACTATTCAAAGTTTAATTGACAAATAATGCCATTACTCAACTCTGATTTTTCTATGAATTTTCATTAACATATCGATGATTAAGGATTTACATGCAAGTTAATATTTAAAAATATTTAATAAAAAATATTTATTAATCGTGGATAAAATATAGTGTTCTACTAGTTAATAGTGGCTATAATTTACTTGAATTGTTTGGTCCTCCTTTACAGCTTTTGTAATTATATGGTGGTTAAATTCAAACATATTTTTTTTACTTTCTATGCAGTTCATTTAGCTGTAATTTTTTTTATATAAACTGTTACTTTATTTTTTAGGAAAACACCATGTACACAAGGATTAATAGTACCTGTCATTTCAAAGTATCAGATCCTGATGGATTTATAAAATTTATGGACTTACGTATACATGGAACGGTAAGACATTTTAATAGTTATTTTACTGCGAACATTTTAACAACTGCCTCGAACGAGAGTTTGGACCTACCCCAAGTATGTCTAACATAAACATTTTTAAGTAAAACTTCTGTTACTAAATTAAATCAATTTTCTTTCAGTTTTGAGTTATATTCTTGTAAATATAGCCAATTACATGATAGTCCAATATTTATGTTTTTATCCATGTCGGCTTTTCGAGAGAAAATGTAAATATAGTCTAATCTATTGCAAATGGGGTAAAATTACTGAAAAAAAAGACAGTATTTTAACTAAATTTTGACTTTTGGCTTCAACTTTACACCTATTTTAAAAACCAGGTCACTTTTCGCCGTCTAGAAGCATATATTTCATTGTCAGCAAAAAAATAAAAATACATCGATGAGCAACTTTACTTTTAATGTCACTGGTTACAATTAAAATACCCGAATTTTCAAATGTTCTTTGTATCTAGGAAACTTTAATTCAAGATAATAAAGCTTTGCATGATGTTTATTATTTAGTCGACATCCTAAAGGAAATTTTTGCAGGGGTGACACCAATAATAAATATTTAATTACTTCGGATGCTTTGCTGGACAAAATATTTAAAGCAAATATTTATTTAAATCAAATTACGGATTTAAAGCGTTCACAACGTAAATCCTATAAAATTTTTAGAAAAGTTTATTCTGTGTTTGAAGCTAAGAGCAATTTGAGATTAAATGATTTAACTAATAACATTTTCGTTTATGTTGCTTTAGCAAAGCTACATACAGGAACGATTAAAAGTTTTGGTATGTTAAAGACGGGTTCAGATATTCCGAAATATGAGAAATTGATTACTTTTGGTAAAGAACAGTGTAAGGTATTATATGACAGAAATCCGAGTATTAGTAAAGTTAAATTTAATTACTAATTGAAATTATCCAAGTCATTTATGATTAGCAATATTTTGAAATTTTCTAAATAAAGGTTTTGTCAATTTTACAATTTTGAATTACTATTTCGGGCAGTTGTGTAATGCAATTTAATCTTGTAAAGTTCACAAAAATTTTCTATGTCCTTGTTTTTAAACTGATTCTGTTGTTATTTTAGTCGGAAGTCCGTGGTGGGTTATAAAAATAAAGAGACATTCGGTTATACATACTCCGTTAGCTGCTTCTAGGAGGTAAGCTTGTTCGTAACGTGAAAAAGTATCGATAATAGAAGATACATAATTCCTGATTTTAAAAACATATATGTGAATATGTTCGAATGGTCGCGAGCAAGTTGGCGTCAAGTTTTTAATTATATGTGGCTTTCGATCATATTTATTTTTCTGGCATATCTCAAAATTATTTACATAATCTTTAATATCATCGGTCATTTTTGACCAAAAATACCATTTATTGAATGCCGCGGTGGCATTTTTTAGTTTCATGATAGAATTTTAGTTTCACTTTTTGTAATTCATTAGTTTTAATGTCTTCTAATATGGTAATACATTGCGTTATTTAAAAAAAAGTATGTTTAAAATTCACTTGCATTGTAATCGAGAATATCGCGGGAAATTCGATATCTCGATAGAAGATATATGTTTTATTAGGAGGGATTTATTCTTAAAAACGAGTTTTATTGAAAATTTTAGTAGTTTTGCATTTTATAGATTCTGTGTCTCTGTTAGTAATGAATATTGGATTTTTGTATATATTAAGAGCTCTTTCTGTAATATGCATAGAGAAAATTGGGTTTTCGGCAGATGAGTGGATAGTTTCTAGGTCTGAGTCAGAGTCATGTGGGTTGATTTTGTCTGGTTTTTTTAACAGTATGTCGAATTTAATATTAACTTTGTCTAAACGTTTATTTGTTAATTTTAAGGATTTTAAAATATTGCTAAAATCTGAGCTATCTATTGGTGGAATTTGATCTATGTTTTTTGAAAAATGTTCGATTACAACGGTTTCTATTGATCCCATTGCATTTACTTCCTCTTTATAAAGGTTTCTGCTTAAGGCGTCCGCCGTTGGATTTGAGGTACCATTTTTATATTTTATAACGTAGTTAAATTCTTCTAATTTAAGCCTCCATCTCACTAATTTGGAGTTCGGCTCTTTTAGAGAGAAAAGCCACTGCAATGGTTTTTGGTCTGAAAATATTGTAAAGGTGCACCCATACAGATACGGCCTAAAGAACTTGCAACTCCACACTATTGCAAGGAGTTGTTTTTCGATTGTCAAATAGTTTACCTCTGCCGGGTTTAAGGTACAAGAAGCATAACATAAAGGGTGACCGTCTTGTGAAAGTACGGCACCAATTGCATAATTAGAACTATCTGTAGTTAATTAAAAATCTTTGTTGAAATCCAGGTAGGATAAAACCGGTTCTAAAATTAATAAATTTTTACTAGTTTCGAAACAGTCAGTCAATAAATTCTTTAGTATAAACTACTTTTTAATTTTTCTTGACATTTTGTCATCGGTTTTGTTATTTTAGCGAAATTTTTTATAATTTTCCGATAATACCCGAGTAACCCTAAGAACGATTTAATGTCTTTTTGAGTTTTTGGTACGGAAAAACCTTGTATCGCCCGAATTTTTCTTGGATTAGGTTTAATTCCATCGGAGGTTACAACGTGTCCCAAAAACCCTTATGAAGAAATTCAGATTTATCTAATTGTATTTTTAAGTGGGCTTCGCGCAATTTGGAGAAAAGTAATTTTAAATTTTGAATATGCTCTTGTAATCCGGTGCTAAAAATTATGTTATCGTCCATATATACCATACAGATTTTATCTTGACTATCTTTTAGAATTTTATCCATGACCCTTTGAAAAGTGGAAAAATTCTTAGTGTATATTGTTAACGTTAAAAGCTGTTTTATCTATAGGGCTTTCTTCCATTTATATTTGGTGAAAGCCGGCCCAAAGATCAATAGTAGAGAAATATTGGGCTCTACCTAACTTATCAAGAATTGTATTATTATTTGGTATTTGATATCGGCCAGGGATTGTTTTATCGTTGACCTTTCGATAATCAATTACTAATCTAAATTTTTGTCTACCCGATTGATAGGGGATGACCAGGTGAACAGGAAAAACGTATAATGCCCTTTTCTAGCAACTCGTTTATTTCACTCTGTATTTTTTGTTTATGGACATAAGGATACCTATATGACTTAGGGTAAATCGGAGCTTTATCTGTAGTTTTGATTTTATGTTTAACTTTAGAGGTGAATGTTAATTTATGACTCGGTTTGAAAAATATATCTGAAAATTCCCTACATAATTTAATAATTTCTGATTTTGCTTCTAGGTTCATGTGATTAGTTTTAATAAGTTTTGCTATATCGATTTTTTTTGTCAGAATTAGTTTCTTTATTACTTAAATTTAAAAATAAATTATTATTATTATATATTTTATAATTTAAAATTTCGAAAGATTATACTGGCAATGGTTCATTTACAGCCGTATGCATAGTCGATCGCCAGCCACTCGCCAGAGATTCATTTCGGCGTATCCCAGCGATTCGCTGGCGATCTGCCGGCGAAAGCCCAAAAAGCTGGCGACTCGCCGGAGATTGTCACCGGAATGTCATATCACGCAAGTTCTTATTTTCTTTTATAGGGATTATCACCGGTATCTCTCGCATTTTATTCATGATTCTTTTCTTAAAACTCAAAAAATAATGAACGAATATCAAATTTTTCCCTATAAAAGAACATGAAAACTTGCGTGAAATGACATTCCGGTGACAATCTCCGGCGAGTCGGCAGCTTTTTGAGCTTTCGCCGGCGGATCGCCAGCGAATCGCTGGCGATACGCCGAAATGAATCTCTGGCGAGTCGCTGGCAATCGACTATGCATACGGCTGTTAATGTTGCTGAAACTGATTCATAGGAATTTATTTTGGATTTTTATTAGTGCAAAACCGTTTTTTGCTGTGTTAAAATTTCTGAAATATCAAAGTTTACTATTTTACTGCCTATAGTTAATATTTTTCCATTATATACTGTGCTAATCTTTTTAGCATTTTTTGTTGTGCTTCTATTAATAGTGAGAAATTTGAATCTTCTTCGGTTATAACGGCAAAATGTTTTTGTTTTTACTGAAAAATTGAGATTTAAGTAGATAAACTCTTTTTCAAATAACCGGTTCCATTACATATAACAATATTAGTTCTATTAAGAGGTATGAATTGGTTCGTGATAATAGTTGTTGTTATAATTGTTTGTCTTCTCATCACGGGAATAGAAATTGTCTAGTTGAAGGAAATTATGCGGATTAGTATAACAACCACAACAGTTTCCTACATTTGGGTAAAAGAAATGCAGTAGTTGTCTTAGTATTGTTTATAATTTAAAAGAAACATACAAAAGAGAAGGCTAAAAATAAAAAAAATTGGTATACAACTATATTATTCCAAAATAGAGAAAATATAATGTAACGGTTGAAGTATTTATTAATATTTAGATGAATTAGTATATGGATTTGTAACGATGTTCCTCAGTAACACCGTTTTAGAGACGTCTATGGTTCAGCATGCAGCCATTTTTTCCAAGCAGAAACAAGTATGTAAAGAGCTCCAAATTTAATTCTCGTCAGTCAAACTAAGGTATTGACTTAGCAACTACTCCTGCAGAGGTATTGACTCTGTAGGCTTCCCGACGTCTCGACTCTTACCTGCATAAGTATTGACTTTGTAGGATTTTCTTTCTTGTGAATCTCTTTCACGAAGGGATTGACTTCGAGGGACTGCCATTACCGTAAAGGCTTAGGCACATCCTCCTGGACCACTAAGCCACGCCGAAACGACGCACAAAATATATTTTGGGGAACAACATTTGAAGACACGACGATTCGAAATTTAGTTAGAACCCTTTCATGTACATATTGTAAATATTGTTATCTGTATATAAATTGTTAGAATAAAGTTTTATTTCCAAAGAACTCTCTCTCCGATTGTCTAAAATCTACCTGCTACTCAAACAAACCCTAGGACGGGTTACAGATTTATTCATCTGCA